CCCGAGGGCAAATCAGCGTAGAAAGGTTGAGCAGCTTCGGGAGCAGGCAGAGTGGGAGGTACTTCGGCAACAGAGAGAGCCTGAGGAATATTATGGTCAGAGGCCTGGTCCGGCAGGGCATCATCAGATAAATCCACAATTACCGCCTCGGGCAGATCAACCAACACTTGCACCGGTGTTGGAATCACGCCCTCGGCAGCAATCTCGACTTCGGCTTGTTCCATCTCTGCCGATGGCATGTATTTGTGCATCTGGAAGAGCGGGGAATCTGACGGGATCCCAGCAGACTGGAGCGCCTCGTCTCACCCCTTCTTGAAGAACTCCTTGCTATTTTCCTCAAGAGTGGGGAGCACGTCATCGGCGAACTCTCCTCGGAGTTGCTCCTCGGACTTTCGATTTTGTGCCTCAGCCATGATCCTGTCCAGCTCTTGGGTCAGAGCCAGACAGTTTTCCTCTGAACCAACAGCCCTCTCCTCCGCCGTAGAGAGCCGCTGCGTCTGCTCTGTGATCCTCCTCTCAGCGTCGGCAAGGACAACACTTAGTTTTTCAGCGCCGACCTTCGCCAACTCGGCATCCTTAAGGAGTTGCTCGATTTGAGCAGCCTGTCCCGCGAGGGTGGAATCCCTGGTAGCTACGTCCTCCTTAGCACTAGCGAGGGCTCCCTCCGCTTCTTCCTTCTACTCTCGAATCCGCTGAAGGTCCATCCTAGCCCCATTATACCGTACCGCTATTATAGAAATCTATTAGGAGGCCTGCAAAGGAAAGGGCATGTCACTAAAAAGAAAAGTGGCTAAAAAGACTAAAGCAAATATGAACTTACCACCAGGAAATTCTGGATGATAGAGCGAAACAACACGTTCGTTGATCGCCCCCTGTAAGCCACCATGTCGGCCTCGAAATGCAAGGTCTCACTCACTGCATTGGCGACATGGGGGTCCTGCAAAATGGAGTCATCGACCCTGATCACTCGGTTCATGTGATCAATGGCTCGAGGATTCCACTCCGCGGCCTCCACTGTCTGCGGAAGGGGAGGAGGAGTCTGCTGTTGCTGTTGTTGCTGAGGAGCAGGAGGTAACCCACGGCCTCTCCCACTTTGCTGCTGAGCGAAGAGTGCCCTGGATCCCCTGCCAAGGCCATCGTGCCTATATTTGACCCTTCTCTCCTCCTCTACCTGAGGATCTCGGTTATGCACTTGCCCCCGACTGACGACTCTTGAGGATGGGGTGGCGCTGGTCCCTGCAGATGGGGCCCCACCGGCCGATCCTCGTCCCCTCCCGGCAGCGAGGGTTTGCCTCTGCCTCAGGAACCCCAAATCAATACGGGGCGTGCTGGATATAGCTACCTCAAGGGCGTCCTCGGTGTCTAGAGATTGTAGGATTTGGAAGTTCGGCCACGAATCTCTCCTCGAAGTCCCCACCTCGGCGTGCGAAGGAACCAAGTCCTCTCTGACCCTGAGCTCTTCAACTTCACCCTCTACTTCTGCCTCCGAAGCCCGGTCAGGGTCTTCTTCCAAGTTCTCCTCGACCTCTTGCCTCACCGCCTGATCAAAAAGTTCAGACCACCGCGAAGGCTCGAAAGGCTGGGGAAGCTGTGAAAACTTTTTATATCTGGGAGTGTAATTCAGGAGGATGTGGGTAGCCCGGCCGAACTTGTCGTCACCAGTAAATCTCCAAACTGTGGCTAGGTCGGCAAAGTTCACCAACGACCGAGGGGGAGGAGCTGTTTCCCGAGCAGGGACATCTGCACAACAAAAAAGAGGGGAGTCATGAACATAGAAAATCTCAACAACAAAATAATAGACCCAAAGAAATCGACATACTTGTTGTTCTCCATTCCAAATGGCATAACAAGTCGTTATACTCGGGACTGACACCTCTCTGCCAAGATCCCTTAAAGATAAGTAGGTCGTCCTTGTACCCTTTGTCCGAGTCGGGAAGATGAGTTACGAGGTACATAGATGGGTCCCTGGCTTTGAGGTAGAAGTGTTGTTAAGGCGTGACTCTCAAGAGGGAATAGCAAAAAAGGAGATCGTTCAGCCCAACATTTACCCCGAGACGCCTATTGAGCTCTATGACCCCCATAATTATCCTGAAGACATTAAGGTAACACTGCCCGAGGAAGAAGTGGAAATGGGAAAGGAACTGGAGAAGTAGAGGGGGCAAAGAGAACCTAATTCTGCCCTCTATAATGACTTTAGTATAAAAGTGCATTGCATCCTCGGCCCCGAAGGTACGAGAGTGCACAGCCGGGTTATAATTCTCTATGTCTAAGTACGGGGGGATGCTGTACTTGATCCTAAACTTATTAATTTGCTCACCACCCTTTACTTTATACTTCCCTGACCTCGAAGAACTGGCTTGAGGATTCTCGGGGGCAGGACGACGACGAGGCATCTCGAAGAAAGTGAGAAAAAGTGAAAGAGGGTGTTTTTCCCTCAAAGATCCCCAAGGAAGCTTCCCGAGGATTGGTCGCTAAGTGGCAACCAGAGACACCTCCAGTTATTGAAAAACCAAAAGGGACAGAAGGACGAAGAGAAGAAAGATATTGGGACTCACCAGAATGTAAAACGGAGTTTTTTCTGGAAAACTTGAGGCGACTCCACCCAGAACGTTCAGAAGCAACGATGGGTCTGCTGGCCTTAAGACTTCAGGGAAAAGGTTGGGCAAGGGCTCTCTGGAGAAAGTTCGGAATGACGAAATGAGAAAATGAGAGAGGAAGCTCATTTATATAGTACCAATCTCACCATTGGGCGCGAAGCACGAAAATGCGCATTTAATGTGCACGACGTCCTAAGCAGGGGAAAACGGCTAAACGCAATGATGAAGCAGTTGGGGTTGTTGTAAAACCCTTCGTCTCCTTACGACGCATGTCCTCGGCGTCAGAAGATCGAAGGCTGGGGGGCAGTTGATGGGACATTTCTGAAATACTCCAAGATGAAGACACGTGTCCTCGGTGTCACTAAATCCTGTTACTGAGATCACGTACCCATCGGTTCACAAGTCCCCCTCCCCCGAGGTACTTTGTCATAGGGATCAAGTGGCATCCAGTACGTTTACGAACCGACACGTATTCCTCGGTCTGATATGGGTACATCGGTCGCTATATACACACCCCTCGGCTCCGAAATGAACTTACCCCTCGGGTCCGATGTACCTCCGTCCAGGGGTGGCGTTCTCTACTCCTACAGAGGCTATTGATGTATAGGTCACTAGTCTAGGCTAGGCTAGGTTAGCTATCATAACCTCGTCTTACACAATTGGTGTCAGAAGGCACAGGAAGGCAGGGGCCACAACCAATAGGGAATGGACGCGTGACATATTGTGTCACATCAGAGACAGAAAGACCGCATGACCTTGCTGACACGCGACTTGGGAAAACAAACATNAAAATGGACACGTGACATATTGTGTCACATCAGAGACGGAAAGACCGCATGCCTTTGCTGACACACGACTTGGGAAAACGAGCATTTAATTACACCATTCCCTTGATGAAACTGCATTTAATGCGATAAGGCTCGAAAGTAAAAGGCAATAAATGTCTCTAAGGTTGGACATTTATTGCATCCTCCCCGAGAGGAGCTCATTGGACAGTCGGCAGCCCGATGACACAACATTGGTTGCTCGGGATCCCGAGTAGTTAAAAGAGAAGACATTCCTCATCGAAATCAGTGCGCACATTGCCTGTACCTAATGATCACCTACTGACTACACTGACAGCAATCATGAGTTTTTGAGGTATAAATACTCCTCGCAAAAAGAAAGAAGGTAGGCAACGAAAAACCTTTGCTACAATACATACTCAGTGTTTTCTTCTTCCTCTCTCTCAAAGACTGACTTGATCGTCGGAGGGGATACGCCGAAAAACACTCCAGCGCCCTTCTAACTTGTTCTTCTTTGTTCCAGGAACCTTTTTCAGCCTTACTGGATCGTTCCATTGATCCACGAGGGTCTCCCATTACCGTTCCAGGTTACCACCGAAACTCACAGGCTGTTCCAAGCAGCGAGGTTGACCACTCGATTGAGTCACTCGAGTTCACCAAGAGAGAGATCTGTTCTCGTGTTTATATTGTGCAAGATCCAGCACGCACAGGTCCCAATAAATGCTGGGACTCACATAAAAATCATTGATTAAAATTATCAAATTTAATTTATAAGCCTATTTTTTAAATTCATATAACATTGCTCCAACATTTATTTCTGATTTTGGCAGTGAATATCGTCTCCTTAGTAGTCCTTTATGAGATTCGGAGAAATTGAGTTATAGCCTAGATGAGTACGGATTGAGTATCATTGACTGACTTTTAGTATTCCATGGCATGCGCTGAACTTGCCACCAACACGTTGAAGAGCGCCAACCCCCCTCCCCGTTTACTCCACCGGGTCAAACCTTCATCTGGGTCTCGTATCACACAATATGTACGGCTGTTAACCAATGCGTCTCTGTCATGTTGTTAGATCTTGTGTAGTTGAATTTATATTGTATTAATTATGTATCATGTATAAGTCAGGTTTAATAGAGTTTTTGTATAAGCCAAAAATTGTGGCCGCCAACTTAATATCAATTTCGTATCCAACTGAGAATTGTTAGGGGATATGACATACAGACTGCTCCTCCCTCCATGATATTACAGAAAGTAATGTAAACGCACCCTGTTTTCCTCTATGATCAGGGTTGGTGGATAACAGCCAAACCCATTATTGTATTCAAAATCAACCTTATCCCCTATTGATTATTACAAAAAATATGTAAACACAAACAACCCAGAAAACCTTAGTGACAAGTATATGATTGACCATGAGCAACTAATTTTGGCCTATTTACTTTGACATTTTGATCAACTTTCTTTTTTGTTTTCGTGTGAACCAAACATCAAAGAGATTCAACACGGATTATACCTACTCCGGCATTAAATTCCTTGCAGCATTGTCACTTCCTTATATTCACACGTAAAAGGAAAAGATTTTCTTACTTTTGGTTGTAAAGAGCTCTATTTAATCCTCATGGCATTACAAGCTTAATCACTTGTCACCTAGAGAACTTTAGTATTACAAAAGCTTTGTTTTTGAGTGTTTTGAAATACCATATTACACAGAATGAAGGTCCAAGTTGAAGTCATCTCATCAGAGATCATCAAGCCATCGTCGCCAACCCCTGACCACCTTCGAAAGTACCAACTCTCATTCCTTGATCAAGTGTCTCCTCCAGTTTTCATGCCTATGGTTCTCTTTTACCCCGCAGACGCTGATGACAAATTCAGCAATGTATACAGATCAAACCAGTTAAAGAAGTCTCTTTCGGAGGCCATAACCCGATTCTATCCGCTAGCGGGACGAGTTGTAGACAACCTCTATATTGACTGCACCGAGGAGGGTGTTCACTATGTGGAAGCTCGGGTCAATTGCCAACTTTCGGATGTTATTTGTGATCCGATTCCTAGTGAACTCAACAAGTTTCTTCCATATGAATTGGATGATGTTAGAGATCTTGGCCTTGTCATCCAAGTTAGCTTCTTTGACTGTGGTGGCATGGCGGTTGCTTTAGGCATATCTCACAAGGTTGCTGATGCCTTGTCATTTTTCATGTTCCTCAACAGTTGGGCCGCCATTGCTCGTGGGGATGCTGACTTACCTTGTCCACGGTTTGAGTCAGCTACGCTCTTCCCACCTAGAGATGTAGCTGGCTTCAAACCGAGCACTGGTATCGTAAAAGAAAATATTGTAACAAAGCGATTTGTGTTTTCTGCCTCGAAAATATCAGCTCTTAGAGACAAGTATGCTGACAATACAACCTCAGAATATCCAAGACGCCCAACACGGATTGAATCCTTATCTGCTTTCATTTGGAGCCGTTTTATGGCAGCCACTGAAGTGAAAGCTGATCCCAATAAGATCTATACTGTTCTTCACGCAGTGAACCTGCGTACAAGGATTGATCCACCACTCCCTGAATATTACTTTGGGAATATCAGCAGGCTCGCCATAGCAGTGCCGTCGTTAGATAGCAAAGAAGAGTGTTATGGCATCTTTAACAAGATGAGAGAAGCAATACGTAGTGTCAATGGAGATTACGTGAAAAAACTTGGGGAGGGTGACAAGCACTTGAACTTTATCAAGGACCGTGCAGAGAGAACCACCAAGGGAGAGGTGGTTTCCTTTAGCTTTACTAGTTTGTGTAGGTTCCCTTTATATGAAGCTGATTTTGGATGGGGAAAGCCTATGTGGGTCGGTTCGGCTAGCCTTAATTTCAAAAACCTAGTTGTTTTCTTGGACACAAGATCTGGTGATGGAATAGAGGCATGGGTTAACTTGAAGGGAGAAGACATGGCAAAATTTGAAGTTGACAAGGAGTTGCTATCATTTGTTTCCACAAGTCCTGATGATAAAACTTGCAAGTTTTAAACTTCATGGATGGCAATCTAGAGTTTGAGTTGAAGTGTCTTATAATTTAGAAGTTTCTTTTGTTCAGTTGTACGAAACCTCTTTAAAGTTGGTTTGGGTGCGAAAATAAGTTTGTTAATGATAGCAAGCAGTGTATTAGAATATTCATATCATTTTAGTCGATACATGTTTCTGTAAAATTCTTCAAAGTATATCTTCAATGACACATCTTGAACAAAACTTATCAGACTCAATGCAAAGCTATTGTAGCGGATAGACCCTCTTGCTAATATTGCGATCCATTGCTTTGATGCATGATTCCTACTTCAAGAAGAATAATGCTACAAAATTCAAATGAAATACAAAAAATTACAATTTAAATGCATATTATCTCTTAAATGAATAGGTTCTATTAATTTTTTTAGTGAGACTCACTCAACCCAAGCTCATCTAAGAGAAGATATACATTTAAATTTTAACTTTTGAGTTTCATTTGAATTATATAATATTTTCCTTTCAGTAATGTTATATTTACCAAGTTTTTATCAAAATTTTCTATCATAAGTGATATGACACAATCTCTTTCTTTGAATATTATTGGATTCACTTATTTGATGATAAAAATTATGTCACATCACATAAGATGAATATTTTGATAAAAAATCTTGATTAATATAATATTTTTATTCATATTTTACCGTTCATTCGCCACCCAAAAACTCAACATCATCAATTGTTCAATTATTTGTCTTTCCGAGAAATCTATCATCTTGCAATTATAGAACTACCATTTATACACTTGTTTTTATTCAATTTTTTGTTTTATTTTGAGCGGAATATTCATGGACTTGTCAAGATATGCACTAACATTTAATGATTTTTAGAGGCTCAAATGTAAATAACTTTATAGTCAGCTTCGATTTAGTTAATAGGAGTTTCTTATCTTTGAATTTTAGTGTACGTACGTCTAACTTTCTACGTATCTCTAATCTATATTTATATTATTTTAAAATATTAACAAAAGTAAAAAACTTTTATTTGACGATATTAACCATAATAATATAGTTAATACCCATACTACCCTTTTAGAGTTAGAATAAAACATTAACGGTGTATTATTTGTGATTGTGACTCTTGAGCTACTATTCTATATTTTTTTCTATATCAATATTATTTTTAAATGTCAATCAAGATCTTGAAAAAATTTTGAATTATTTTTTGTATAATCGTTTCATAAAAGTTTATATCTTCCCCTTCTAACTTCTATGTTTTTTTCTCTAATCTTTCTTTTTTTTTTCTTTCTATTATCTTCCTCTCTTTGAAGTCTACAAATTTCATTTAAGTTGTTGANATTTTGAATTATTTTTTGTATAATCGTTTCATAAAAGTTTATATCTTCCCCTTCTAACTTCTATGTTTTTTTCTCTAATATTTCTTTTTTTTTTCTTTCTATTATCTTCCTCTCTTTGAAGTCTACAAATTTCATTTNCTGTTTTCTTTTACTGGGTTGAGGGTGGATAACTTGGTGAGTCTTTGATATTTCGTACGCCTAGTCACGGTTTATGCTTAGATACTCACCAATCTTACCCCTAACTTCCCACGANGTGATTACAATTTTCTCCCTTTTATATAATATTATAAATTGTCAACAAAAGAGAAAAATTTTTAATTGACCTTTATGTCCCTATTAAAAAAATTAAAGAAACTTATATAATTGATTATCCAATATCCAATATTAATAAAATATCTAAAAAAAACCCTTCATATACTTTCTTTTCCACAANCGATTACAATTTTCTCCCTTTTATATAATATTATAAATTGTCAACAAAAGAGAAAAAATTTTAATTGACCTTTATGTCCCTATTAAAAAAATTAAAGAAACTTATATAATTGATTATCCAATATCCAATATTAATAAAATATCTAAAAAAAACCCTTCATATACTTTCTTTTCCACAAGAAATATAACCGATTCAACATTTACACCTTACTAGTTGATGCACACATGCGTTGCACGTGAGTCATTTTGAATAATAGTGGAAAAAGAAATATTCTGGTGCTAAAATAGAAAGAATGGAAGAGAAAATATCTTGGCACAAAAAAGTGAGATAGAGTGAAAGTAAGAGACTCTTTTCCAATCCTATAAGAATTGAAGGATCTTCTATTTTTGTTTTGAATGGTTATAATTTGTACACACTGGCGAATTGAATCTGCTTATGTGTATATTTGTTGACCAGTCAAAGTGAGTAGGAAAATCCTCCAATTCTTGGGAAATTGGAGGAGAGATTAACCCAAGGGAACAAAAGTCAAAGTAAAACATTAGAACCAAACTCAATGGNTTCAAAGTGAGTAGGAAAATCCTCCAATTCTTGGGAAATTGGAGGAAGAGATTAACCCAAGGGAACAAAAGTCAAAGTAAAACATTAGAACCAAACTCAATGGGCCAAGTATGTGCCCCAAAAAAAGCATCAAAAAGCTAATGAAAGTTGACCCAAGAAAATGCAAGTCATCCTTTATATTTGTTCCCATTACCGAATAGAAGCTTTCATTGCAATTGTAAGAGATGTTTGTGAGCGCTCTTGGCCACCCCATGAACAAAAATATACTCTCCTTGCGCAGCAACCTTGGCCGTGACACTTCCAAACATGTCTAGCAACATTCTATCTTTCCCTGGACATGAACGAAAAATATGATACATCCTTTTTGTATAAATAATAACCAACAAACAGTCTATTTGAGCATCAGAACCTCCTAACAAGACAATTGAGTGGATTTACAAGAGACTACAATGAATTTAGAAAATCTAGTACCCCCAATGTACCAATCTTATGAGCCGCCTAGAATCTATTTTGAAGTCCAACCATAAAAATGGAGCAGTATGAAGCATCTGCTAAGACAAATGGTAGAGATGTTGTGATCAAGACACAAAATTCTGCTTCACCCATGAGAATTAAACAAAACAAACATCAAGATGAAGAAGAATGTTTTTGAGAAATCTATAGCAAAGATTGTCAATTGAAAAAATCGTTGATGACTATAGTCTTATATTATGGTTAGGAACCAGAAGAATCCTAAAAGGGCAACTACTCTGTTGGAAACTATTTTTCAGGCCTAAGATTTAACATGGCCAAAGTACACTTACAAGGTCAATATTTATAGTTCAAAACAATTAAGTTTTCCAAATTATGTAGCTCTTATAAAGTTATAAGTTATAACACAATAAATTTGAGTTTTAATCTGGTAAAATATATTTTCGTCCAAGTTTATTGAACTCATTCTCACATATAGCTACGGGATTTTATTAGAGCCTAAAATTGAGCCAAACAAGATTATTCAATTTTATGACAAACACAATTACCAAAACATAGGAATCAATTTCAAACCTTGAAAATGAGGAAGTATAGTTATATGTACCTGTTATTCAATGAGTAGCATGTATGATACTTCTCACGATACTCGTGTATATATACCTGGCATATATGTTTGTAAATTAAACAAAGGAAAATAGAACAACTACTTACTTTGAATTCTTTCGCACAAAATCCGACATTAATCCAGGACTGCACAATTTCCAACATGTAAGTAGATACAAATTTGTTAAACTCCGCAAAAACAATTAAAGCACTCAATCAATATCAAAACCAACACTTACGAAGTTGNTAAGGACTGCACAAATTCCAACATGTAAGTAGATACAAATTTGTTAAACTCCGCAAAAACAATTAAAGCACTNGACTGCACAATTTCCAACATGTAAGTAGATACAAATTTGTTAAACTCCGCAAAAACAATTAAAGCACTCAATCAATATCAAAACCAACACTTACGAAGTTGTGGTGATCAAAAGGAAATGATGCAGTGTTGTGGACATATGATATGGATGACATTNCTCAATCAATATCAAAACCAACACTTACGAAGTTGTGGTGATCAAAAGGAAATGATGCAGTGTTGTGGACATATGATATGGATGACATTTTCTTAGAAGTACAATAAATTTGATCAAGTGATAGACTTTTCACATAAAAATAAAGAACTAATCTAATGCACTATTATATGGTTGACAGGATGGAGCTGTCAATTGTTTTCTCATGTGGCAAAATTTGTTGGTGTTAAGCATCCACCATTTTGAAGCATTTAACATGAGAAAACATAGAAAATATACTTTCACACTATGAGTTTATATACAATTAGAAATATGATTGTTTTCACGATATTAATGAAAGCGAGAATTTAAAATTAAAAAGATCAATGCTTTCGGTACGATGTCCGAATGCTTCATAAGTGAACTATTTGACTGTCTTGTAAGAACAACACTTCGAAAACAAAAAAGCAAATGGCAACTTTGGATCTATATTAACCATAATGACATGCTCAAGAAGGAAGATATTTAAGGTTTAAAAATATTGCTCTNATCAATATATTATATATATATAACTATTGAATGATTATATTGGCTTTAACAAAGTATGAAAAGACTACAATATTCTTTTTAATAATTTTTCTTTAGTTTATAGATGATTTACAACTCATCAAGCTACTTGAATTACTTGCTTAAATGCAAGGGTCATAAATTGACATACCCCAAAGATAAGATTCTCATATTTACTCTTAACCGTTATAGGCCTTTTAGAGTTTCGTGATTACTCCTCACGACCACCTTTCAACTTCTCCCCTTATTACTTCAATTAAAGGATCTCATTTATATGCATCAAAGTTATATATGTATAATGCATATGATAAGAGCAAGCAACATAAACACTTCAAAATCCAAAGATAAAATACTAAGCTTTTCAAGAGTTAGTACCCCATAATGCAGGAGTAAAAAACTATGTAGTTTGAAAATCTTGGGATAACTTATGGCAAATTTATTCTTATATGATTCATATATGACTCCTAGTTTGACTTAATTTTAAGGCATGGTGTGATAGTTTATATTTTATAGTAGGCACAACTCATGGGTTAGTTTTTATGCTGGAATTTGATTGTTTCATAAAAGTTGCTTATCACTCAATTTTTTGCTTCATTGCAGTTTGTAGATATTCTTTATTTGTTTGTCCTTAACATTTGTGTTTCATAATGTAAATTGGCAGTATGTTGTTGTTGCAGGGTATAAGAAACAATTTGTTCTTGCCCCATAGTCTAACTATAGTTCTTGGGTTCATTTTAGAGGGTTATTTGAGTGAAAAAAACATCATTTTATGGGTCTTCACTCAGACAAACATGTTATTTCTTAATTTTTCTTGTTCTTTGTGGTGGAAACTGTTGATATGAGTGAGTTTGCTTGATGTTTGAACTTCATTGTTTTCGTGGATATGAGTGTGCTTCAAAATTGATAAAACTTAAAATTTGGATTTTGAGTGATGTGTATTATTTGTGTTGAGAGAAAACAGGGCAATTATAGATAAGATTCTTCTCGATAAACTTATATATGTCAAACCTAAAATTCAAAAATATCTTCATGATTGGTCATAGATTCTCAAAGTCTTTGTTCTTGGAAGCATTTAATTTTTATTTTTATTACTGTGGGTTTTTAGTAAACCATATAATCTTTCTAATAGAACAGGTGTCTTAGCGTTTTTATTTGATGGTCCTTGTTTTTAAATTGGCTTAAGTGTGACCCATGAAATAGAGTTATTTAATATTGTGAACTTTTCAAGTATTTTCATAAGTTGTGATCATTGTCAATTTAGAGGCAAAAAAATAATTGTTGGCACTTAAATAAGAACTTAGCTTAATTTGATAAGGTGTGATCTTTTCAAATTATTTATTCACTTGTGGTCATTGCGTTTAAAAAGTACTTTTGAATGATTTTTGTTCTTTTGGTAGTGAGTTATAAATTTTTATTTTTAATAAGATTTTATTGTTGCTAGAAAATAAATTTACAAAAAATTCATATAATATGTTTGTTGAGCCTCATTTCAACTCATGGATCCTATATCGCAAAAAAGGGGANAAATAAATTTACAAAAAATTCATATAATATGTTTGTTGAGCCTCATTTCAACTCATGGATCCTATATCGCAAAAAAGGGGAAGACATTATTTTTCAGACTTTATATATGATGTTTTGAAAATCTTCTCGATAGACTTGTGCTCTTAATTTTCGCCAAGGTAATATTCAAGTAGTGCTGAATATTCACAACTCAAATTACATTAAATTTTTTTGCATGAAAGATTGATATATACATATTACGAACCAGGNATGTTGAATATTGACAACTTAAATAGGATTAAATTTTTTTTGCCTGAAAGATTGATATATACATATTAAGAACCAAGTGAATGACATAAAAGTCTAATCATGTTGTTTTGGCTTAGATGTTGAATTCAACAATATTAGTGAAATTTGAATAAAATGAAATGTCTAAGAAAGAATCTAACATATAAATAGTTTTGTTTATGTTGAACAAACGTCAAAAAGAAAACGAAATAAGATATAGTAATAGGTGCTACAAGATCTCCAAGTGAAATTCAACTACCATGCCCCATGCAAGAAACTTATCTACAAAAGTTCTCTGGAACACAAATTTACAAATGCTAAGAGACTATTTGTTTTATTAACAATGGTCTACATGCACCGTGGTTAGGAGTTCAAGTTTTTTTTTTTTTTTTAAAGAAAACTTTTATAGTAAAAACAAGTTTTCCTTCCTAGGTTCGATCCTCATAGATCAATTAACATCTATTCTTTTCTCTTGTAAGAGTAATATACACAAATCATTGTACATATCATAAAGAAGGTATTGTCAATACTCGAATTACAGACTCATCACTCAACAATGGAGGTGATACTTGGATTTGAGCTTTTTGGCCTTCTTGGATTCTTGAGACCGCATTATGATGTTCGGTAAAGTGGTAAAAAATTATGTTTTAGCTTTACTTGATCACCAATTAAGTACATATTGAAGATAAGATTTAAAAGAACTATGATGGTGACAAAGCAAAAAAGAAAAAATGAATTAATATATATCGGTACTACTAATAAAACTTTCTTAATATGAAAACTTTTAATTTTTATTTTTTTTCTACAAATCATTGCAACTTTTTAGCTAACTTTTTATTGATTAGATCACATTTGTATTCTTTAGATAATATTATATTTTATTTGTTAATCAAAATAGTTCACGTGCAACGCACGTATGCACTTACTAGTAATAAAAGAAACATGTATGAATTTGCCTTTCTATTTTTTTTATTTTTTTGGGTTTGTAATGGCCTAGAATGAGCAAAATTTATTCTCTTACATAAAGAAGGCTCATGAAGCTGGCTAAAACAGATATGAGTCACAATCTTCATAGTAAGCTAACTAATGCAGGAAGGCCGGTTTGGATGTGTCCCAAGCAATAAAGGCATGTTTGAAATGGGAAAAACTGGACCCCCTCAAAGGAGCAGGCTAGGAATTGATCACACGTTGATTAGTTATTTTCTTGACAAACAAGACAATATACAGTCAATTGTTCAATTTGACTGGGTTAGCTACTAATAAGTTATGCTTTCGTTCTTGAAGTGTTACACCAGTGCATGCACCTTGTAGATTTCCCATCACTATACCATATCCGAATATTATTGCGTGATTGAACACTTGATCTTTTTTTCTTCCTTGTATCGTGGCAAGATTATTTCCCCTCAATATAATCATAAGTTCATAGTGTCAGTGCCAGTGCAAGTTAACCAGGGGCGTTACGAGGGGGCATCAGATCCGGCTTTAGGACATGACTTGTATAAGGTTTGTTGCCCCAAAATGGGTGGGTTAGTGTACTTACAGTTGTGATGATCAAGATCACCCATATGCCAAGACTCCTATCTCCAAAGGCTGTGGATGAGCTAAGGGATATTAAGGTACTGATTGGCGCGGAGCCAGGATTATATTCTAGTAGGGGCAAAAATATAAACGAAAAAGATTAATCAATTGGTATAAAAAAATTGTCCCCCACATCCAATAATAAGGATTAATAAATTTTGCAGATTTTTTTTTTTTAAAAGTTCAACTATGAGTAACATATTAACATAATTTATATAAAAATAAATCAATTCAGCATTTAACAAAATACGAACAAACAAGAACAATATTTTTTTTTTAGTGACAAATGTCAACTCAATCATATATTAAAGAGAAACACAGCTATATTGTTTAAAATCTCAAAAAATTGTCTATAACTAATCAATTATACGATAAATTTCTAAGCAATTTTCTTTTAACCTTGTTCACAAATTAATATTGTTAAAATGGTTATGTTGTTTTAAATCTCAAGAATGTCTATAATTAATCAATTTTATGGTAAATTTATAAGTAATTTTTAAATCTTGTTGATAAATTTATATTTTTGGAAGGGCATGAATGTTCATAACTTGTCATTTGCATCTATTCGTATGTTATTATACAATAATATTAAAAAATTGGAGATATTGTATTAAATAAGAGAGATATTGTATTTGGCTAATATATACACATCCTTTTTATTACTTATTTTAATAATAAAACACTTGTTTTAGTAGATTAGGAGAACAATTCCTTGGATATTGAAAGGAGTATTGGAGCAGGTCTGGGAATTGCTTAAGCAGCTGCAATATCAAATCAAACATGTGTACAGGGAGGCCAACACAATTGCAGATTATTTGGCATATTTTGCTGTTAAAACTGAGTGTTTTTCTGATTTTTCAGTAAGTGGAAGATTACCAATAGAAGGAAGGATGTTATTACAGCAGGATCAGTCAGGATTGCCTACTTTTAGGAGGAAAAGAGTTTTGATGGGTGGTCAGCAGTTTGAGGAAGTGACTGGGGTTGGATGGAGAAACTGATGTTACTCTGTCTGATATTCATACTGCTACTTGGTGCAGTATGTGGAGGAAAGATGACACAGCTGGTTGGTTGTTGATATGATTGGGTGGATGACACTGTTTAGGAGTTGTTTTCTGTAAGCACTGGAACTTTGCTGTGGTTATGAGCTGAATCTGGTGACCTGCCATTCCTAGCAGTCTGAATCTGACTCAGGTGCTGTCCATAGTGCAGTTTGGGTGCTGGATGCTGTACTATACTGCTGTGCTACTTTCACAGTAGCTATTGTATTGCATCTGGGGAGCTAAGCTGTGAGCAAAGGGACAGAAGCAGAGCTAGGAGGACAGTGTGCAGATAATGTACAGGAAATTTTAACTGTTTTTGTAACAGTTTTAAGTTTTGATAAAACAGTTACTGTTTTTACTTCTAAACAGTTCCTGTTTCTTGCTTCTTGTAATTCTTGAATTTCATTCAATAAAATTCTCTTTTCTTAAAAAAAAAAATAAAAAAAAAGTAGATTAGGAGAACAAGTGAACCACTAACTTATTGAAGACAAAAAAGACTAGGGCCAGTATTTAAATTTTTAAAAATTTTAGGGGGACAATGAGAAAAATTGAACATAACTTTGTTGTCATATCAATTTATATAGTTAGCCCCTCAAAAGTCAGTGGGTAGTTGCCCCCCGCATCAATACACCCCTGGTACTGAGTCACTGTACTAATTCCCACATCGTTAAGAGAGAAAACTTTGTTGGCTTATTCGTGTATAAGTAGTCTTACCTTAGCTATCAGACGTGTTATAAAATCATGAGCGCTAAGTCAAAGCACTTGCACAGCAAGTTTATTGATGTGAAATGCCAGATCAGTGAGATTTGCAAATTTTGTTAGTTGTGATCAAATTCAATCAGCCACCAATAAAATAAACTAAGTGGATGATTGAATTTGATTCGACCGTCAACATTTTAAAATTAAAATTGATGAAATTCTAGATTTGTATGTGTACACGTAAATGTAAATATTGCCATGTATTGGAGGGATTCTTTGACTTTTTGTACATTGGAGCTCTATTTAAGCCTTATTGCAACACATGCTCGTTGCAATACTTGCATAGCATCTATAAACCAATAGAGAGCAAAAAATATAATAATTTTTTAGTAGCTTGTTATTGTATTTGATTAGAGGATGAAGGTTGACGTTGAAGTTATCTCGAGAGAGACAATCACTCCATCTTCTTCAACCCCTGACCACCTGCGCAACTATCAACTTTCATTTCTCGATCAAATATCCCCTCCAATTTTTATGCCTCTAGTTCTCTTCTATCCCGTGGACGTGGATAACAAATACAACAGTGCAGTCAGATCAAATTATTTAAAGAAGTCTCTTTCTGAGACCTTAACTCGATTCTATCCCTTAGCAGGACGAGTTATCGACAACATTTATGTCGATTGCAATGATGAGGGTGTCCCCTACGTAGAAGCTCGTGTCAACTGCCAACTCTCCGAGGTCATTAGAAATCCAATCCCTGGTGAACTCAACAAGTTCCTCCCATATGAATTGGATGATACTAATGATCTTGGTATGGCCATTCAAGTGAACTTCTTCGACTGTGGTGGCCTGGCGGTTGGTGTACTCATATCTCACAAGATTGCTGATGCTTTCTCCTTTATCATGTTTGTCAATAATTGGGCAGCCACCGCCCGTGGGGATAGCGATTTACATTGTCCAAGATTTGAATCAGCAACGCTCTTCCCACCAATTGATATAACTAGCTTCAAACCAAGTATTGGCATGACTAAAGAAAATATTGTAACAAAAAGGTTTGTTTTCATTGCTTCTAAGATAGCTGCTCTTAGAGACAAATATACTGAGAATACAATCAATAATGGTCCAAAAAGGCCAACACGAATTGAAGCACTTTCAGCCTTCATATGGAGTCGTTTTATAGCTGCCACAGGAATAAAAGCAGACCCCAATAAGCTCTACCTTGTGCTTCATGCAGTAAACCTACGACCGAGGTTTGATCCACCACTGCCTGATTATTCTTTCGGGAATATTAGTCGAATCTCGATAGCAGTTCCATCCATGGACAGTGAGGAACCATGTTATGGCATCGTGAAGAAGATGAGAGATGCAATACGCGGTGTCGATTCTAATTACGTGACAAACCTCAGGGAGGGTGACCAACACTTGAACTTTATCAAGGAGCTAGGTGAAAATTACACTAAAGGAGACCTGGTCTCCTTTAGCTTCACTAGTTTGTGCAGATTCCCTCTACATGAAGCTGATTTTGGGTGGGGAATGCCTATATGGGTGGGTTCTGCTAGCCTTACATTTAAGAATTTAGTTTCTTTCTTGGACACACCATCGAGGGATGGAATAGAGGCATGGGTGAACTTGGACGAGGAAGACATGGTGAAATTTGAAGATGACAGAGAGTTGCGGGCATTTGTGTCCCCAAGCCATGGAGTTGAACAGTGAAGCTTATGTCTGTTTGACTTCATTGATTATAAGTAATGGTTCTGGGACTCTTTCCCAGTGCCTTGTAATGAAAAGGTTTATTTTGTCTTTTTTCTTCCCCTTTTGTTCTTGTTTTTGTTTTAGTTTACAATTATTTTTTGCGTTTGTTAATGAACTTAAGTTTGTCACTCAATGTAACTCCAAGCTAGAAAATAAATAAAAAATCTATTTTCACCTCTTTTTGTGAGCCGTAGTTGCTTGCTATTCGAAAATCTCTCTTTCGACTCTCTCGGATGTCAATTTCTGAACGCATTAATTTGATACTCTTTTTTAATTTTTAAGATGAATGAACAAAATTTTTTTTTTTTGGGCCGTCAAACCTCTCATAAGATTTTAAATTTGTTTATGCTATTTCATTCTTTCTTTTTGTAAAAATGTTAAATCAACGAAAGTGATTGATCATGAGTTACAAGTTGCCTCCTAGTATAGAAGGAACTAGGTTATGACCTGGGAGACCATGACCCTTTTAGGCTTCAGGGTTCAAAAAAAAAATCTCGTTGCTAATCTTTTATAATTTTTAGGGTAATTTCCAATTTACTCTCTTAAAAGTAGCACACATAATTTTAATTTAGTCCTTAAAATTTCAATTGGTACAATTTAAAGTTTTAACCGATTTTCAATCTAATTCTTCCGTCTAAATCTATCAATTTGTTTTGACAAAAAAGTCATATGATTTGTTCGTAAGGTTATATTTGTGAAGTAAAATTTATTTCTCTCAAATACATCGATATTTTTTTTGTCTCACAATATTTCTCAAATTTTCACTCCTTTTTTTTTTGGGGGGGGGGGGGGGGGGGTTGTTATCATTTTTTTTCTTCTCAAAATCAAAGAAAATAAAGTAAATTTTTTAACCTATATGTATCAAATTTTTCACGAGACAAATATACCATTTTATCCAAGTTATATGCTAGTCACATAAGACAATTATGTTGTTGAATTTTGATATAAAAACTCAATTAAAACTCTAACACTGCATTTGATACATGGTATTGAATATTGAGAATGGAATATACATTTCTTAATAATATTCTTATAATTGGTTGGTGGGAATTTAAATTCATTTCTTTTCCTAAGAAATAACTAATCCTACAAATCATGAGCTTAAAAATTACCAAATCAACTATTGTATTTTTCATTTTTGATTCTTAAGACCATATTTAATGGAGACTCAAACTCTTACCTAAATTTGAGTAAAAAAAAAAAGATAAAAAACTTGATTTGATATAGATCTTTCCCATGATGAAACCCAAATTTAAATGAAGATAAGACCAAACTCAAATTTAAAGGAGGGTAAATATGATCATTGGATCTTTAAAGAAGAGTGTAATCTCACTATTGATAAAAAAAGTAAGGATTTGAATCTCTATTAATTTGGGTTTAAAATAGAAGTTTTTTTTTTTTTTTAAAAAGGTTTTTAAGATTTTTTTTTTTTTTATACGATACAAAAAAGGGTAGGGTGAGGTTATTCCTCCCTTACAAATCTACGTTCGCGTCTTATTAAACTCTAAGTCGTAGAACTATTAAATTTACCTTTTTTATACCCGCTCCACTCCCCTGTGATCACTTCCCAGAAAACCTTTTAAAGTAAAGTTGGCTGCACATCAAGTCGGGCCTGGAGCTTTATCTCCTGGCATAGAGAAGATGACCTCCTTTCTCTCGTGCTCTGTTTGGTACGATGAAAAGTTGAAAAGATAGAAAATTAAAGGGGTAAATAAAACATCATATTTAATAAGAAAAGAAAGTAGGAAGGATGGAAAAATTGATGGATTAAATTTCTCTCCAACTCATCAAAATCAATCCCTATAAAATCAGAAAGAAAATAGATGAAAAATTAATTATTTGTGTTGAGATATATCTTATTTGTTTATGTCTTATGTATACATTAATTTTATATAAAAAAATACAATGGTAAAATATATATATATATAAAAAAAAAAAAAAAAATAAAAATTTTAAATAAAAAAAATATATATTTTTTATCTTAACTAAGGGTGAAAATTTTCAACTCAACACGATGACACGAATCGAACTCGATACGAAAATAAACAGGTTAACTCGTAACTCGACACGACACAATTAGTTAAATGAGTTAAGTTAGGTTTAACTAATATTCGACACAAACTTGTAATGACTTAACACGAATCTGACACGACACGACTCGACTCGATTGTCACCCCTAATCTTAACCAACAAAAAAAAAATTATTTTTATTTTCCATCCATCCAACCAAGCACAAAAGAAGGAAAGTGTATCCTTCCTATTTTTCCTCCTACTTTTCATCCTTCCAATTTTTCACCCTCCCTACCAATCGGAGTATCAGCCTCGCTGAACAGGGCTTTCTTTCGGCTTAATAAGTCAGAGATTTCACTTTCTCGAGGGTGTAGTAGTGAAACTTTAGTGGAAACTTCCCCAGCCTCCTCATCTGCAAGACATGTTACGGCACTAATTATTAAATTCATTTCAATCTTTTTTAGGATTTTTTTTTATACTTTATCTCACACAGTTTACAGAAAAAAAACTAATTAACTTGATTATTTAGTATCGTGACGTATCACGCGGTACTAATAACTATATATTTATGAAACAAATTTTTATTGTTTCAAATTGTTAGATTTTTAATTTGAAATGGACATTCCATAAAATTAGTTTTGAAAAGAGGAAATGTTAGTTGTTTCGTTTAAAAGCGCAAATAACAGTCGAAAGATTGTCCGAGAGGATGATATATTCTTGGAGTTGAGCTATATTTCTGACCGCATATTTTATAACTTTGTTTGATGTTATGTCAAACGGCTATGAAATTTTTGAAAATGATACAACTTCTTTTATTGTTATGAGCATCTCTGCGTATCAAATTGTGTTTTCTTTATTGTTTTGACTTCTAAATTGCGCGCTTATGAAGTTATGAGGTCCACCAGGCCCACCTAATCCACTGAACTTGTTAAATCCATGGGCTCATCAGGCCCACCAAACCGAACTAACACAATGTTCTTGTTGAATCCATGTGCTCATCACAAATGCGGCAAATTTATGGGCTAGTTTAGGCCCAACATTAAGCCAAACTAGCCTACTGATCTAATTTAAATTTATAGGCCCATCAGGTCCAATATGTTTATATATGCGGGCTATAATCAGACTAAAAATGTTGGACCTGGCCACTGTGCCGCAATTATCGGCTTGTTACTTGATTGTGCTCCGTTGATAAAATTATGCATGAGCCTCAATCAGGGTCAAATGGTTCCGGGCTGGTCCGAGACTGTAAATCAATGGCCAGAGTTTCTGCATGGCATTTGGCCACGGTAAGGGCACTGATTTGCTAGTTAATTAATTCAATTGCAATACTTCTGATACGGCAAATCCATGACTGAAAAAAAATACATATTGGAAAAATACAAATCTCTCTCTCTTATCAGATACTCCATGCTGTCGCATCTGGCGAACCACCAACGACAAGTAATCTTCGAACTTACCCTCCCCTCTATCTGCATACTATTTGTCTTCCTCACACATTCTCTGCTTTCACTCGTAGATTTCACTTCCTTCCCCCGACTCCCAACACACACCCTATACCACGGTGCCACCCCATACCCAACCCAATCCATCAAACCCCCCACCTTCAACACAACACATCCCCACACCCACACCTCTATGCACACACTCACATGCATTCATTAACTCCCCTCTCTATTTTTTCCCACCTGCTTAGATACGCTTTGATCCCATACGCCAAAGCCACTAAACCAGTGGGTCACGCTCACTAATTGTTCTACCAAATGCCCACAAAAAGACATTATCATATGGACCCCCTTATCTCAACCTACACTTGCTCTAACAACTTCCACAACGCCTTGTAATTGTCATCATTTGGAGCAATGGGTCTCTTTTAAGGGATTGCTTGATTAGTCTCTCTCTTTGGTAGTTGAAAAGTATACATTTGTTATTTTCTTTATATTGTAATTGCTTTAATGGGTTTTGATGAGCCCAAATTTGACTAGGCTCAATCCAAATAAACCGAGAAAGCTCGTAGAAAAGTCCAACTGAAGCTGGAATCATGAGGCCGTAAATCAACACGGAGTCACGAGGCTGCAAAGTAACAAGGAGTCTTGAGGCCGTAAATCAACAAGGAGTCATGAGGCCGTAAATCAATAAGGAGTCAAGTGGAACCAAGACACCAAAGGCCAACGCCCAAGGGGGTGCCACCCATGACCAGGCCCCCTTGGTTCTTCCTCCTTTGTCCTCCTAACTCCAAAACAAGTCCAAGCCAAGTCAAGTCCAAGGTTAAGACCAAGCCCAGTCCGTCTCAGGATCCTCCTCCAACGAAATAGGATAACGAGGAAAGAATATTGGGATACGGAGATCCAATCCTATTAAGATTATACTTACCAAAATGGTAGAAACCTCATTCCTCACATCATCGCCTCACCGCCTTACAAAACCTATATAATGTAAGCCCTCTCCATAAAGAGGGTATCGTCTACTTATGACCTTGAGTCCTCTACAAGATCTCTACACATACTTCTTCTTTTCTTTCTCTCTCGCTCCCTCTAAGCACTGTAATACTTTGGAGAATACTCTTTTCGGTGACTTCACCCATTAATAAAAGACTCAAGCCACCGCAGTCGTTTACGAGACTGGAGTAGGTCATCCGGACTAAACCACTATATATCTTTGTGTTTTGCTCATTATTTATTAGTTTATCATTAATTGTCTGTTTACTGCTCATTGATTGCCCCCCCTTTTACATTCTTGACTGTTGATTTTGCACAATATCAATTTGTGCATCATCAGTTTGGCGCCGTTTGTGGGAACGATTAGTTTTCCTATTCTCTCTTTCAATCCATGACAATCACTACCCGATCAATGAGCCAACAGCCGGGAGACAATAACCGACTCACCGGGAGGACGCTCTGCCTCCTCTCGCACCGTCTAAACAATCTACTATGGCGACTCCCGCCGGGCAACAA